ATTTTCACAAACAAAACCTTCAGAAATGGATCTTACAAACTGAACAGGGCAGTTACGTTGGAAAGGAGTTCTTTCGTGACATCGCAAGCAATGGTGATAAAAAACGATAAATAAAATATCAATAATGCATCAAATTACTGTCCTCCTTACTATATTCCGCTTAATCCTTAACGATTTAGTTCTTTTGAGTCTCATGTATTCACATAATCATTTTCCCATTCGTTGCCTAACTAGGAACATGTCTTCACTAACTTCATAAGTGCAATTGTGATCTAACAGCGAAAAAGTGAGGCCTGAGTAATCATACCCTCAATGTTGTATTCACAAAAGTACCTGTTGAGTCATGGCCCAACCCTAATCACGACTACTTTCTGTTCTACTTCTCGTTTCTCCTCTTTTTCGTCACTTCGTCCTACAACTTAAATAGCAGCCCCGATATTCCCGGGGACTTACAGTTGTCTTTCCCAAAAGCCAATCACGTCATCGAGATGGTTAATACATATTTACGTCATCAATCCTGGTTATAACCCAGGGCTTAACTTGCATTGATTCTCGACCACCAGGTGTCCGTAACAAAGCAACTGACATAATTAGCACCGACTACTGCATTGTACTTTCCAGACACTTAAAGATTTCACAATTTTATGTGAAAAATATCATCCTTCTATTATATGGTCAGTGTATCTTGTAGAATAACTATATAATTAGGCAACTTATTACACCGAAACACTAGTGTTTGTAGTGTTTGCTTGTAAATCAGCATGCCTCATGCAACGAATTATCGAATGAGAATACAGTATTACTATTATCATCATTATACATTACGTATATTATATATCCGAAACCTAAAATACATTATTACGCTGCCACTTGTTGCTAGTAGGGGTAGGTTCTGGATGCGGATTATATCATAACTTTGGTGTGTAAATGCAAGGTCCATCAATAATCGTTCATGTTTCAAGTCAATATGCGTCGTTTTCGCGATACATAATACGAATGCACATTGAATCATAGTCACCGAGACACTATCAAAATGATATGTGACGCGTTGAAATCGCCAACAACGAGATAAAAATCAGTTTTACTCCACTTACAAATATTACTTGGGATAAAGTTTCAGGAAGAAAATATGGTCTACGGTATAATTCACCCATGATCAGTAATCCAGGTGTTTTCTTTTAGTTGACGTTTCGGATTTGTTTTTCCGACAAACTTATCAATTTATGTCATCTAATTCTTTTGTGAGAGAAATTCTCCCTATATACATCTCATAGTAGCATTTATTTCATCCTCCGAAACTTATTATGATTATGCATAATGCTAGTCCAGACGAGGATTATTTCTTCTTCAAGCATGTTTGCACTTGGTTTATCAGCCTCTTGATCAGCAGCAAGAGACGAGCTCCCTGTACCAGCGGCTACACCTATTGCTTCATTAAGACCAACCAAGTAGACATCGTCACCTGGTAACTCCTTCATTCGAATGGAAAACTGAGAAGCCTCACCTTGGAGAATTGTTTTGATAAGGCACCATTCTCAGTATAACCACTGCGAGACCGGTCTAAACCAACATTAGTAGATGGGCGGTGACAAATTGGATATTTTTTGAAACCACCTATTACACCTGTCACCAATCATACTATCTTCAACAACAATGAGGAACGGTAGTCTACTAAGTCGACAGCTTCGGGTAGTTAGTGACAATCAAATTAAAAAATAATCAAAAGATTATCAAACCCAGCTCATGGAAAAGACAACTATATACATACAAAGATTACTCACTAACAAAAAGAAAACGCCACATCTAGTGCTAACTCAAGTAGAAAACGTGGTAAAAAAATACCTAACAGATCAGAACAACTGTAAAAGCGTTAAACCTTGGTTTAAATCTAGCTTCTGTTTCAATGAACGCAACAGAAATATAAAATATCAACATGTGTGAAAATTCACTGTCATTTTTCGAATTTTTATGATTGAAATGTGATATCTTATAATTATATATTGTTGGTTCATACTGAAAATTTTAAATATATATAATAAATGAAGGATGTTGTAAATATGTATCAGTATTGTTTGAACACATGAACTATCTAGGTAATTACATCTTGGCCAATAATCGTCGAACAAGTTGGTGCGCGTAGTTTGTTGTCGTAGCCACACATCTTTTGGCACCTCGACCGAAAATGTCAGCAGTTTTCTTAGTGTTTACTGCTGTTGCTTTCCATGCGTTGTCTCTAGGCTCCATAGGTTTGTTGAGTGTACGATTTAATCTTATTTCAGAGGCCATATCGTCTATGTCTATAGACCTAGGAACGGAGTTTATGAAAGTTGCAGTGGTTTTGGTGCGTTTTTAATCCCTTAATCATGATTTATTTTTCACTTTTAGCCCGGAAAGCCCATGGAAATCGCTCTTACTCCGTAAGTTTGTGGCTTTAACATTTACTTAACAGCGATTCCAAGCGAAAAACTTCAACTGCAATCGGCTTTAAAAACAATGAGAGGTTATTTGGCAGTGATGCTGTTAATTTGGTGAGCTCTACTATCTCTTATGTGTTTTCGATCGGTTAAATTTTCAACGGAATAGAGGATTTCTTTACAGACTTTTACTTCGAGGATACCGGTGCTTTCGGTTGCGACGCGTAATTCACGATATTTATCACTTGCTCTAACGATACCTTAACGATACACAGCTGCTTGTTTTCTAGTAGTGTTGCTATCTGTTGATCATATGTAGATTTTCTGTAAAACGATATCAAAGCCGAAGTGGTTGGAACAGTATCCAAACATTTCAGTAGTTGAATGTTGACTGCTTTACTTAGTTCATATTCATGCTTGTTTTGAGAACAGAAGACCTATGGCCTGTGTTTGTCCACTTCCAGTAAGCCTCTGTAGGTTCCTAGTCTTCGTTTGAACAGATCAATTGGGTGCGCTGACTAGAGAAGACCAGGCCGGTTTTCGACCTGGACGTGGATGTATAGACCACATTTTCAGATTTCGACAGGTCCTGGAACGCAGACACATATTTAGGCGTCCGACAGTAGTTATCTCCCTGAATCTTACTTAAGACAGCATTTGACTCTGTTGATCGTGAGGTTCTGTGGCAGTGTCTGTCATGTAAGGTATACCAAAGAAGTACATTAACCTTATACAAGCTGTGTACTCGAACACTACAGGTCGGGTGAGAGCCTATGGCGAACTATCATCAGAATTGTTTACTTCAAGTGGCGTCCGTCAAGACTGTTCACTCTGTCCATTCCTGTTTAACTTTGTCGTAGACATGCTTTTAGAGTTAACATTATCCTCATCAGACTTTTTGGAGGTAGACCTCCTACCAGGAGGACCGCTTACTGACCTAGAATATGCGGATGACATAGTTCTATTTGGTGAAGACACTGCCATATACAGTCTTCTGACAACCCCAAGCAACAATGCGAGCATGTTCGGGATGCGGTTCTCACCCTCGAAATGCAAAATGTTGCTTCAAGACTGGGTTACATCGGCACCTGAACTAGTGATAGGCAGTGAAGTAGTCGAACGTGTTGACCGCTTCACTTATGTCCAACCACCGACGGCCTCGAAGAGCTTCGTTCTGTGGTCTAGGATTAGGTTGAAAGAAAGTCATGTGCGTTGTCATCAGTCTCTTTACCAAACAGAACTATGTCATCCGCATATTCTAGGTCAGTAAGCGGTCCTCCTGGTAGGAGATAATGTTAACTCTAAAAGCATGTCTACGAGAAAGTTAAACAGGAATGGACAGAGTGAACAGCCTTGACGGACGCCACTTGAAGTAAACAATTCTGATGATAGTTCGCCATAGGCTCTCACCCGACCTGTAGTGTTCGAGTACACAGCTTGTATAAGGTTAATGTACTTCTTTGGTATACCTTACATGACAGACACTGCCACAGAACCTCACGATCAACAGAGTCAAATGCTGTCTTAACTAAGATTCAGGGAGATAACTACTGTCGGACGCCTAAATATGTGTCTGCGTTCCAGGACCTGTCGTAATGTGAACATATGTTGAAGGGTGAATCGACTTGGTTTTTTATCTTGACTTGTTGAGGTCAAGTGAATGACTCTACTCGGATCCTGTATGCTTGTTTCCGAGACGCAGCATACATCGATTGAGCGAGATTCTAGAGTCCTAGCTAAGGAAGCCTGTTGCCCTATTTGACACATCCGTACATTAAATGCTCCAACATGTAATTTAGAACTAGGTTTCAGGAGACCTGGAATGACGTTTCGTGAACTCGCACCGTTCGCATTAGCGGTGCAGTATGATAAAGCAATGTAAGAAGAGTTAGTCGTGGGGATAAGAGAGATGTTAGGGGGTGTAGGAAGGATTGGATTATGACCGATTTGGTCTCGCGTGCTATCACGGGTATGAGATAGAACAAGACGCCAATACTTACGAATCCGTGTACATGAGCAAAAGCATAAAAGTTCTGCAATGTCTTATTTAGCACATACACCATGTGACAAATATGTGGTAAGAAGTGACGTAGTCGAAAACTTATGTTCCTAAACATGTTCCTGATTAAAAAATTGTATATATTCTTATCACTTAAAAAGCATTTCATTTAAATTCTAGATAGTCTGTCTACTTTAATATTTTTAGTGTAGATATGTTTAGTTATTGATTTTCTTAATGCTTTTGTAAGGGAAATTTGTTAAAATAGCGCGTGCTGAGAATTCCACATCGTACTAAACATATCATATAAAGTTAAGCCACTGTTATTATAATCATTATTATTGCTGTTTTTATCATTGTCAAACATTAGGATTGTTACAAAAGAGCACCTAAATATTTATGCGCCCCACAAATTATTGAGTTTGAGTGGGCCGAGATATTGTCCAGGAGCCCTAGCCGCATTTGGTAGTTTTTTAGAGGGGCACTCATCAAGCTTTTTACCTGAAGACCTAATACACCAGACAGTGGAGTAGCTTCAGATGTGGCATCATGGCACTCCGTACCCGACAGCAGGTTCATACGCCACTTGTTCCGTCTGGATCCTGGAGCCCGTATGCACCTTTGGGTTATCAGGATTTTCTGACTCCACTAGATTAAATCCTGTCTATCAACTAACCTGGTTTAAGTACCGGATATCCACTTTTCGTTATCCTAATTTCGTAAGCAACACGTCACTAAAAGGCAGTGAGCAGGACTTTTCTGGCAATGGTTACACACAAGTGAGAGTATTTGGAGAGAGAGCTGCCTCTTCTCACCTGGCTGTAGCAGAGCATTCGTGAGCTTCGAGTAAGTAAGCAGTGTCTGGAATATGTTTTAGCCTGGATGTCTTATACATTCATGTTTTGTAACTTTGAGGTAATAGAGCGAACAGCAGTGAATTGCTTTAATCATTATTTTGTCGCTCCATTCCTATGACATCATAAGACTTTTCATATACAATCTTCGCTAGTTGCTTCAAAGTGTTTGTGATTACATTTTTCCCGATTTCAGTGTCTCGTACATTGAAACAATCTGTTCTGTTTCACTCACCACCAACAGTCTTGTATCAATAAGGTTGTTTATTATGTTTACTGTTGCTTTCTAATGTTTTTTAGCACTTGATTTTGTTGTAGATTATCTATTTACACTTATATTTGTAAGATTTCTTACGGATTGATGAGTTCGTTCATTCATTTAATAATGTACAGTTGCTGCTGTAACTTAGTGAAAGAAAATAACAGTGTAACGTGTTAGCTTAATACTTCCATTATTATTATTATTATTATAGGCTTCCAAAAATCCTGAATACGTATTCCAATCTATTCCATCTCTTCTTGGGAAGTCTATTGATCATCCAGTGGTGAAATTGTTTCAAGAACGTTATCCTTATCACAATTTATCTTATGATGCTACATCTGGGCAACTATTTTTCACTCGTAAGGATGGGGTGATATTTTCGGTTGATGAACTGGTCGCTATGCTTCTTGAATACGCCCACAATTATGCTGAGCTATATGCTGGTATGTTTTCTTTTGACTTATAGAAATTATTATCAACCTTTATTCATCATTTCACCGTCAGTTTTTTAAAATTTTAATTGTGGTACTCTATACTTGACAATTGTGGGGAAAAAAATACGTATTTTGGTGGACTTAAGGTGGGCATTTCTCTAGTTTTCTGGACATTTGGAGGAAATAAAGTGCATAGACATTTGCCCTAAATAGCCTCTTAGCTAAGGGGTCAACAATAGTATTTGTGTGACGATTGGCAGTTTGTTTTCGAAAGACAGAATAAATACCTAATGGAGAATTTGGCATTGTCAGGATTTCGAAAACCTACTCCTAATTCTAAAAATATGTGTAGAGTAGCTCTCTTATTTTGGTAGTTGTGTGATTGGTGGTGAATAATCTACGTCAGATGAAAAACAAAGCTATAGGTGATAAGTTAGGTTAGCGTTGACTTGGTTGTGATATTTAGTCATAAGTGATCGCGTGTACAGCACTGAAGTGGGAAGAGCTTTGCCTCTTGTTAGTGAAACAACCTATCCAAGCTGCTATTTTCGATTGTCTTTGGTTAATTGCTTGCATTCGGCAGCGATAATTTATGAGTGAACCCAACGTTTGGGAACTCATTGTTTAACAGTGGAAGGTATAGTTTAGTGGATTACTTACTTACGCCTGTTACCCCCAATGGAGCATAGGCCGCTCACCAGTTTTCTCCAACCAACTCTGTCTTGGGCTTCCCTCTCCAGTTCTGTCCAATGTTTGTTCATTCCTCTCATATCTTTCTCTATTTCTCGGCGTAGTTTGTTCCTTGGCCTTCCTCTTTTCCTTTTGCCTTGAGGGTTCCATGTGAGGGCTTGTCTCGTGACGCAGTTAGGTGCTTTCCGCAATGTGTGTCCTATCCACTTCCACCACTTCTTCCTGATTTCCTCCTCCACTGGAATCTGGTTTGTTTTCTCCCACAGTTTGTTGTTGCTGGTGTCTGGCCAACGAATCCGAAGTATTTTGCGTAGACAACTATTAATAAACACTTGTATCTTGTGGATGATGGCTTTGGTAGTTCTCCAGGTTTCCGCTCCATACAGTAGAACTGTCTTGACATTTGTATTGAAAATCCTGATTTTGGTTTTGGTTGAGAGTTGTTTGGAGTTGCAGATATTTTTCAACTGTAGAAATGCAGCCCTTGCATTGCCAATCCGCACCCTCACATCTGCATTGGATCCACCTTGGTTGTCGATGATGCTGCCCAGATATGTAAAAGTATCAACGTCCTCCAAGGCATCTCCATCAAGAGTGATTTGGTTGGTGCATGTTGTGTTGCATCGGGGAATTTTGCTTTTTCCTTTATGTATGTTGAGACCTACTGCTGCAGAGGCTGCTGCTACACTGGTCGTCTCCTCTTGCATTTGTTGTTGCGTGTGCGATAGAAGAGCCAGGTCATCTGCGAAGTCCAGATTGTCCAGCTCCATCCTGACTGTCCAGTTGATACCGTGCTTCCCTCCAGATGTTGACGCCTTCATAATCCAGTCGATGACCAGGAGAAAGAGAAAGGGTGAGAGTAAGCAACCTTGCCTGACACCGGTCTTCACCTCGAAAGAGTCTGTCAGCTGACCGTGCACGTTCAGTGGATGCTATAGTCTAAAAGAACCATCTTTAATATCTTACAGACTGTTATTCGGGGGCCGATAACAGTGAATTAAAAAGTGGAAATCTATCGATTTTATAGTAGCAACATAGAATGGATTGTGATTGTGCAGCTATACCATTTTATGGTTCATTATGCCCTTCAATAGTGGCTTTAAGATGATATAACCTCACTAACTTGGTATGTTATCAAATAAAGCTAGAAATACAAATCAGTGGCATCACTAGTTTAGTTTTACGCTTGTATTCTACAATGATCGTAAGATTTGTTTCTAAACTGCGGGAAATTTACCTTACTTGTGTTTTTGAACGTTATCCTTTAAAAACATTCTGCACTTAGATTTTAACTATTTCGAATATCCTCCAAATATTACTATTGTATTTTGTGTGGCGCGTATCGATAACTAAACAAAATAATAAACTGTAATGTTGAATGATCCTCGTAAACATTCCTTTTTTTCAGGTTCCATTATCAAGACTTGTGTATTGACTGTACCTAGTCATTTTAGTCAGTCTGAGAGGCGTCGCTTGATACAGGTGTCTGAAATGGCTGGCTTAAATGTTCTCCAATTAATTAATGACAATTCTGCAGTGGCTCTGAATTTCGGTTTACTCCGTTTTAAAAGTTTCAACGAAACACCTCAATATTACGTATTTTTTGATATTGGTTCAATGAGCACAACCGCAACCTTAGCAGGTTAGTTGAAGTTGTTAGTTTTCATTTTGAGCACTTATTATTAACGTTTAGATGTGTTTTGTTTGGCGCTCCATTACTTGTTGTGTTATGATGTCTAGACATTGTAAGCGCCTGGAAATTAATATCACCTTTTGAATTAAATTTAAACGATCTGAAACAATGTTGTAATTGGTTTCATCGTAGTTTGACTGTAAACAATTCAGTTCGTATTTAGCATTTAATTGATAAAGCGCTTGATGTTGTACAAAGTCCTGACTGTATACTCCTCAGGTTTTCCCAACTCAAATGTGTCATTTATTGTATTCCATTATCTTTCTTTCAATTTATTTTCATATTTTGTTCTTCAGGTCAAAGCTTTGTTGTTACAATGAACTGATAGAAGTAAAATAACGCTTGAAAAACATTACTGAGACCACATAACCAGTTTATGAAGTTATTAATTATTGTTATGAATTATACAGGGTAGTACAAAATTCTGTCCATAAGATCTTCAGTTCAGTGAATATCTGTTCGAAAACTTCAGGTGACATAATTTAGAAACGACCACAAAAAAGTTACAACAAATTATTTACTCCCCTATTGAGACCTTAAACGTTTCTTCATTTGTCATTTGTTACCTCTTATCACTTTATGTTTATTGTTTATTTAGCTGCCTCACTAGTTTTGTTGATTCGCAGTTTTATCGTTTAGTATCAATGTTTGTCTATTGGTATTATTATTAAGCGGATGCACTTCGTTTCTGTCTGTTTCTTCTGTTCTCACTTGTTTTGAAATAATTCTTTTGGTTTTGTTCTATAGCATACACATATGGAAAACACAGAGATGGGGATGTTGTTGGAGATTTTCCAATGTTGAGAATTGTTAATGTCAGGTAGGTTGTAAAAGCATTATAATATTACCTAAATTTTATACTTATGTGTTGACAATAATTATTTTGAACCCAGTATATCGAGCTGTGTCACTGAAGTTTGCCCAGCTTCGAATGCTTATAACTTCTAACTTAGCTCAGCGCAGTAGTTAATGATTTAACAAACTGATATAATATCGGGTTTTAGCCACCTTAAACCTTCTTCTAGACTACTGGTATGCTAGACAGCATAGCGCACCGAAATAGATACTGGCTTGAAATTCGTAAACCATTTTCTGACCTCAGTCAATGGAAGTTAACTACTTTGATATAGTGCCATAAGTCTAACTCCAGCCTTAATTACCCGGTGATTTTAACATGTGCTTCTAGCGCTCCAAAAACACTAGTGATTTAATTCCAGCAACCTAAAAACATTGTTGTTATGATTCGTCTGCTTGTGATTCATGCTAATCTTCCTAAACTGGCTACTTGAGCGAGAAGGCAAGAGAAGATGAGAAAGTCTATCTGGCTACCGAATAATATGTATAAACACAGTCATAAAATGAGACAACAAACTGTTCCACAGTATGCTTATATTTTGACAGCCAGAAAAACGTTTGATCTACATCAGAGTTAGTTTTGGTGGGTGAATCTAAGCCGACGTTGTGTTTGTGCCAATATTTCGTTAACTCTCACTCTTAAGAAGGTGATGAGACTATTGAAATGGCCGAGTCGATCAATGGCGTCGACCATTATATTCAGTGTAAATTAGGATTTTATGTTTGGAGACAAAAAGCCATTCCAAGGTTCTCTTGTTTTCAATCGAAGATCTCTACTCATTTGACAAAATGAAATACCTACTTCTAGTTGATGAGTGAAGCAACCAGTCACTGGACAGTAAGGCTATAAAGGGTTAGGTCTTGAGGAATTATATGACAAACTGACTAAAAATAAGACAAGTAACAACCTAAATGAGCAATATTTGATGTGGCTTTGTTGGGGATACTAGATCCTTAAGAAATCGCTTGGCAATCCTCTTAATCTTGTATTTTATTTTTGGAAATTTAAGCTTCTTATTTTCTATCCAAAAGCGCCTCTTATTGCTCTCAGTTTATGTTTCCCACATGGAAGAACCTAAAACCTCGTTGGTTAGTTTTCTCCTTTCGTGTGCTATTTTGTAACTCTTCCAAGGACACTTTCTATATTGCATAAATTACGCTTGGATTGAATACTTGTTAATTCGTTCACTTGGGGCTGATTGTGGCTTAATACAATCTTCCTACCGATCCTGGATTTCTCACTCTAGTTAGTTGTGCTGGGCTGCAGAGAATAGATGTTACTTACTTACTTACTTACTTACGCCTGTTACTCCCAATGGAGCATAGGCCGCTCACCAGTTTTCTCCAACCAACTCTGTCCTGGGCTTCCCTCTCCAGTTCTGTCCGAGAATAGATGTTGCTTTCCTATTTTGGTTTCATTGGTTTGCGTTCCGTTCGCTGATATATAGAGTTGTATCTTAATTAGCTGAGGCATAGCAAGCTTACTATGGTAACAAATATAAACAAGAACTTAATTGAAGAGACATTTGTGCACAAAAAAATCACAAAGTCTAAACATCATATGTTACGACTGCTTATAGAGTATTACTATTGAAACTGCTATATGTAAAAGTCTGTGAAATCCTAATATATATGTATATATAGTAGAAAAATTAGAAATTTTTAAGAAATACATGCATAAATGAATTTGTGAAGATTGACATTTTACACTTTTATAATGTTTTATTTTTTTTTTAAGTCATGATTCAACATTTGGCACACAGGCTTTCATTTATCGGATAAGAGATCAGTTATTAGAAAAATTCTGTGAAACAAAGAAATTCAATAAAGAACATGTGAAAAAAAATCATCGAGCTATGTCTAAATTGACTATAGAAGCTTCAAATGTCCTTACCAGACTTAGTGCGAATTCGGAAATATTCGCCCAGGTAAATATGAAAAATTTTTCGAACAATGTGTTATTTACGGATTTTTTTCTGTGTTTGTGCAATTGATCATTTACTTTTGTTCAACAAAGCAAGTGTCTGTATGTAACTCACTTTGGTATTGTACTCCTGTGATATAAATCAAGTCTTATTGACTACGAGAGAGCATTTGATAGCGTGGTTAGGACAACACTATGGAGGCTTTTTCGACACTATTGCATGCCTTAGAAGATAGTCAACATCATATGGAATTCTTATGATGGATTAAACTAAAAAATCGTACACGAAGGACAGCTAACAGACTCTTTCGAGGTGAAGACCAGTGTCAGGCAAGGTTGCTTACTCTCACCCTTTCTCTTTCTCCTGATCATCGACTGGATTATGAAGGCGTCAACATCTGGAGGGAAGCACGGTATCAACTGGACAGTTAGGATGCAGCTGGACGACCTGGACTTCGCAGATGACCTGGCTCTTCTATCGCACGCTCAACAACAAATGCAAGAGAAGACGACCAGTGTAGCAGCAGCAGTATGTGCAGCAGTAGGTCTCAACATACATAAAGGAAAAATCAAAATTCTCCGATGCAACACAACATGCACAAACCAAATCACTCTTGATGGAGATGCCTTGGAGGACGTCAACACCTTTATATATCTTGGCATCATCATCGACAACCATGGTGGATCCGATGCAGATGTGAGGGCACGGATTGGCAAAGCAAGGGCTGCATTTCTACAGTTGAAAAATAACTGGAACTCCAAACAACTGTCAACAAACATAAAAGTCAGAATTTTTAATACAAATGTCAAGACAGTTCTACTGTATGGGGCGGAAACTTGGAGATCAGCCATAAGATACAAGTATTTATTAACACTTTTTTACGTACAATACTTCGTTTACGTTGGCCAGACACCATCAGCAACAACGAACTGTGGGAGAGAACAAACCAGATTCCAGTGGAGTAGGAAATCAGGAAGAAGCGGTGGAAGCGGATAGGACACATACTACGAAAAGCACCCAACTGCGTCACAAGACAAGCCCTTACATGCAACCCTCAAGGTAAAAGGAAAAGAGGAAGGCCAAAGAATACATTACGCCGAGAAATAGAGAAAGATATGAGAAGAATGAACAAACATTGGACAGAACTGAAAAGGGTAGTCCAGGACAGAGTTGGTTGGAGAAGACTGGTGGGTGGCCTATGCTCGATTGGGGGTAACAGGCGTAAGTAAGTAATCGGTTAGTATATGACTTCCTGATGTGTAATTAGTAAATTACTAGATAGACGAATCTTCGTGGATATTATTACAGAAGGTTATGTGATCGTTTCTCACTAGTTGACAAAGTTATCATTCAATGACGATATACTACTACATATAGGTTATAATCTGTGCAAAAATACAGAGTGGATGTTAATCATTGAAAATTATTTTAAATATATGACCATTTTATGTAATTTAAAACTGTATGGTTTACTATGCAAAATAACCTTTACTTACTTACTTACTTACGCCTGTTACCCCCAATCGAGCATAGGCCACCCACCAGTCTTCTCCAACCAACTCTGTCCTGGGCTTCCCTCTCCAGTTCTGTCCAATGTTTGTTCATTCTTCTCATATCTTTCTCTATTTCTCGGCGTAATGTATTCCTTGGCCTTCCTCTTTTCCTTTGATTTTGAGGGTTCCATGTGAGGGCTTGTCTTGTGACGCAGTTGGGTGCTTTTCGTAGTATGTGTCCTATCCGCTTCCACCGCTTCTTCCTGATTTCCTACTCCACTGGAATCTGGTTTGTTCTCTCCCACAGTTCGTTGTTGCTGATGGTGTCTGGCCAACGTAAACGAAGTATTGTACGTAAAAAAGTGTTAATAAATACTTGTATCTTATGGCTGATCTCCAAGTTTCCGCCCCATACAGTAGAACTGTCTTGACATTTGTATTAAAAATTCTGACTTTTATGTTTGTTGACAGTTGTTTGGAGTTCCAGTTATTTTTCAACTGTAGAAATGCAGCCCTTGCTTTGCCAATCCGTGCCCTCACATCTGCATCGGATCCACCATGGTTGTCGATGATGATGCCAAGATATATAAAGGTGTTGACGTCCTCCAAGGCATCTCCATCAAGAGTGATTTGGTTTGTGCATGTTGTGTTGCATCGGAGAATTTTGATTTTTCCTTTATGTATGTTGAGACCTACTGCTGCACATACTGCTGCTGCTACACTGGTCGTCTTCTCTTGCATTTGTTGTTGAGCGTGCGATAGAAGAGCCAGGTCATCTGCGAAGTCCAGGTCGTCCAGCTGCATCCTAACTGTCCAGTTGATACCGTGCTTCCCTCCAGATGTTGACGCCTTCATAATCCAGTCGATGATCAGGAGAAAGAGAAAGGGTGAGAGTAAGCAACCTTGCCTGACACTGGTCTTCACCTCGAAAGAGTCTGTTAGCTGTCCTTCGTGTACGATTTTTTAGTTTAATCCATCATAAGAATTCCGTATGATGTTAACTATTTTCTCAGGTACACCGTAGTGTCGAAGAAGCCTCCATAGTTTTGTCCTAACCGCGCTATCAAATGCCTTCTCGTAGTCGATGAAGTTGATTTAGAATGGTGAGTTCCATTCAATTGATTGTTCCACAATGATCCGTAATGTAGCAATTTGGTCAGTACACGATCGATGCTTACGAAATCCGGTCTGTTGATCTCGATGTTGAGCGTCCACGAAGTCCTTCATTCTGTTTATCGATACCCTGTTGAAGACTTTGCCTGGTATTGAAAGAAGAGTGATGCCTCTGTAGTTCTCACACTTGCTGAGATCGCCTTTCTTTGGTATTTTGATGAGGTATCCTTCTTTCCAATCTGATGGTACTTGTTCCTCATCCCATATCTTCTTGAAGAGGATGTGAAATATTTTCGCAGTTGCTTCTACATCTGCTTTGATTGCCTCTGCTGGAATGTTGTCTGGTCCTGCTGCTTTGCCGCTCTTGATTTGTCTGATGGCCATACTGATCTCCTCAATTGTAGGTGCGCCAAT